AATGCCACCTTAGACAAGCTTGGTTCTCTTGTATTGAACTCCAATGGTGATATTGATATTGGTCCGCTCCCAGCTCAATTTGGCTTCAAAGGACCTTTTGACTCAATGGCGGACTATTTCTTAGCTTGGACGACGCACAACGCAAGCTTCAAAAACATACATCAACTCAAGGACCCAAAATTAATTCGGGCCACCGAATCCTTTCCGCAGCGACTGAAATTAACGACCGAAACTCTTATGCCCGCCAGAAGTTCCCGTACCTATCCTATTGTGCACCCCGATTTTCTCATGCATAACCTCCTGTTAGATGATAGCTTCGAGGTTGTGGGAGTGATCGATTGGGAATTTGCACATACAGCCCCCATTGAGGTTTTTGCGGCGCGGATGAACATGTACGCCTCGTTCAATCCTCAACATGCGAACCTAGACTTGAATGAAGAAGGGAAACAATATGTAGCAGATGTTGCTTGCATGGAAATGGGCACGAGTGCGTCACCAAGACTTTCGGAAACTTTCGGAAGCATACTTGGAGACATTGGCTTGTGTATGCAATTTTATGAAGAGGGAAGGGCACTGTTATTTGATACCGTGCTAGATCGGACGGAAAAAGTCTACCTAACGCAGTTGTAATGAATGAATCGCGTTGCCTTCACATTCTCTCCAACTCAGTTGAGCGGACATGCGTGCTTAACCAATCCTTTCAACGTCGACCACCGAAGGACCGGCGAAGGATAGGCATACTAGTAGAGTTAAGGTCAACTAAAACCGAGTATCATCACAATAGAGCCCACTTACACTTTTATTCGCGAACATGGCCACATTTGGGACACTCGTCTCCTCGTTTGATGTTTGTTTGATCGCAGTACACAGGATTGTTACACTGACCATGGAGACTTAAAGGCATTGCTAACAAGTGCACACACTATAATGGAGTTGAAGTATGAGAATATCTCATATGCTTGAAACAAAATGGTGATAAAAAAGTTCACTTCGAGACTGGATGTGAGCATGTGTTGATGGCTTTATACATTGCCATTGCAGCCATTTGAGCCGCCTTGTCGTTCGCCAGCTCCACTGATATATGCATCTGCCATCGCAATACATAATGTCATGCGTAATAAGGCAAGCGCAGGTCTATCAAGCCCCTCTTTGTCTTATATCCAATGGTAGAGTAAATGACGTGGCGAGGATGAGAGGACTTGCTGATGAGCTATCGCACGGGCAAAGCGCAATAACAGAGCGTAAGAGAGCCAATGATGTTCACCCACATACCAGACCCATGTGAGGGTCCTCAAAATTTAAGCACATGTTGCCAATGATCAGTTATCCCCTTAGTTGTGTTAAGGCTGCACTTTTGTACTTGAAGGGATATTAAGCCAATAAGAATCCTAAGGCTAAAGAATTCTTTATTTCACATACTATTTTATATAGTAATAGAGGTTCCAATAAGAATCCTATTACAAGCTGCTAAATTTGCAGCTATACTACAGGCTGGCTCCATGTTGGCACAAATGCACACCAGACCATACACGGGCAAACCAGCAGAACCCTCAACAACCGCACTACGGCACCCGAGCACCTGTGAGAAAGATCGAGAGAGCGCAGCCTGCAGGCAACTGCGGAGTAGTGAAGGCGGAGGCTGAGGCAGCCTGCTATGAAGTGGCACAATTTCATTTGTTCGTTGGTTGACCCCAGGACTTTGCCTTGACCAACATGCAGACCCTTTTGACAGGGCCAAGTCAGCGAGCGCGTAGAGGTCAGAGATACGCATTTCGGAAGTTGAGGGGCATTGCCTTTGAACTTACTAGTCACCAAAGACATTAAAAATCCCAAGTCAAAATAGTCCGCAAATTAGCCTTCTTCTAGCGACAGATACACACTATAAATAATGTCTGATATTATGCCCAAGAGAAATGCTCGGAATGCAAATAGACCCCTCCAGACTTGGATCCCTTCAGAACCTTCAGATTTGCCTCCGCAACAGCATTTCGAACGTCATTTTGCATTGTAGCCGGTCCACAAACAAAGACCGAGAGCGATTCACATGCGTCCGCCACTCTTGCCGCCTCTTCCTGGATGACCAGCGGTAGTTGTGGCCGGCCGTCGAGTTGCTTGGCCAACGTGGCCAACGCCGGGCTATGTGTTGTGCTTTCTTGGGCGGTGATGCCGTCTGGCGAGGAGCTTGACTCTGCTGGAAGGTCTTGAGCCTTGTCAGCTAAACCGACCTCTTGTGCAGCCTTGCCAGTGAGGTGTAAGTGGATACTGATGTTGGAAAGCGACTCGCTTGTTGAGTATCGGGACAACAGCTCATCGACAGTTCGAAGGTACCATTTACGACTGGCCGTGTCTCGAGTCGCCAGTATGACGCGTAGAGTAAACGGCCGGGAGGTCCTGCGCTCCTGGCTTTCCGTCTCTTTCTCCACGCTGTCGAGGTCTGTTGTTTGGCCAGGCTCTTCATCGACGGCCTTGGACTGACGCAAGACAAATTGCTCAATAAACGGCAGGGTCCAGCCCGCGCCTGACCCTCCCGCCATGATAAGAAGGTTGTCGCTGTGAGCGTACGCCTGAATGTTAATCCCCCCATAGGGACCATCCACAAGCACAGGAAGCAAGGCACCCGGGTGGTTCAGAGCAAACTGGTTCAGACGTGCGGTAAAGCCGCGCTGGTGGCGAATATAGAAGACGAGCTCCGACTTTTTATTTACTTGTCGGCATGGCAATGAGCATATAGTGAATGGATGGGCCGAGGCGGCCTGCAAGAATCCAAAACTGGTGAAGCGGAGGAAGCAGTGCTGTCCCGGCACCCATGTGAAGTTTGCTGGGATTGAAATTCGCGTGAAGCCGTTTTCTTCAACGGTGACATGAGCCTTTACCCGTGTGCCGTACTCGATACAAGTCCGCAGCCAGGGATAAACGTAGCAAGGGACGTACACGGCCGCTGTCGCAATGAAGTAGTGCCTGTGGGAAACATGAGCGTCCGAGGTTAGGGGTGTATGGATATTTGCAGCCCACTGCCTGGACTTACCATGAAGTCAGGGTGTAGTCGCAGTGGCAGAAGAATATCAGGACAAATATGGCGGCAGCGAATAGGTGAGTGGCTTTGAAAAATTCATAACCTAAATTTCTGCGCAATGCATCAGATATGCAGCCATGGTCGTTATACGTATAGTACGATATATTCTGCGCAGCCAACTTACCTAATCACACTGTGGGAGGCAAAGGTAAGCCAAGCCTGGAATATGATGGCCACGATGCCTGTCCAGTAAAATAAAAGACCCATCTCGAACTGCATGACCATGTCCCCGAACCGGATGTGGTAGACGATGAACGGAAACGTGTGCATAAGTGCCAGGAGGAAGAAGACGTAGGATATCCATCGGTGGAAGACCTGCAGCTTCTCGTGGGAAACGCCCGTGAGGAGCGTGATCCAGTTCGTCTTGGTTGCTGTCGCGCTGGGGAGAAATCAGTCAACACGTGTATTTGGACAAATGCCGGATCGTGTGGTCGTGGGGGCGGGCCTACAAGACAAAGGGCATGCATGCCAAGGCCATCCATCCCGATCGTGTTCCCAACGGTGGAGAACCACCAAAGTCAAGATTTGGCCAGTAGTATGGCTCGGGAATCAGATCCATGCCTGCGAAGCCCAGCACGTCAGTCTTGATGTCTCAGACGCATGTACATATGTAACCAGACCAGTTCGACTTACAGAAGAAGAAGACGGCCCCCGCAGCTGCCAAGAGTAGAAGCCCCAAGGGGGCCGAGTTCCATTGCAGGGCCTCGACGTGGAAGCCACGGTAGGACAAGTATCGTGTCAAGGCGATGGCTCTTTTCCATGGGGAAGAGGCGCGCCAGGCCCGATATCCCAGCAGCTGCGCGACAAAGTTACCAATGACGAAGATGCCGAGGACGCTCATGAGAAAGGCGATGGTCGACAGCGCAAAGACGTAGTCGGCGATGAACCTTGTGTGCCATGTCTTGTTAGCAACGTTGGCGGAGGACGTAGACTCTGGTCGTTGGACGGTTGATGGGATTTCCTCACCAAAAATGCCATCGCTCCTGGTAGTAGGTGCACTGCTCTTCGGTAAAGCCAAAGCTATCGCAGGCAAAATCTCGACTCCCCGTCAGAGTGATGGGCGGAGTGAGCCAGGCTGCCGACATGGTGGTGAATGTTGTTGATGCCTCTGGCGGGAAAACAACAACGCTTGGGTGTGCATCTTCAAAGTTTGACGGCCGCAACACCAGACAGGATTCATTTTATGGGCAACTTCCGTGGCGTATGGTGCTGGTGCTGGTGCTGGTGCGAGGACGAGGACATCGACCAACATTGAACTTGGAGCTTGTGCCTGTTTGGCAATAGCATGCCGGCAGTCCAGTCGTGAAGCAGCCATTACCCATTCAATGTTATCGACTGGAGCTGATGCTTACATGTCAATAGTATTGACCATGTGGTCAGTGCACCGCGCGCAGGTTGTCGGTCTGGGGTGTGGACCCAGTCATAGCCGTCCGTGGTGGCGCATCAACCATGCACGTGTCGATCCATACCAGGTAATGTAGGTGCAATTTTGAGCAAGTTTGCGCTCAATGTACCAAGCAGCCTTGCCTGGAGCTCGATTCGACAAACATGAAGCATTCAACACGGCCTGTGTATCCCCGCGGCGCGTCTGGTCAAACGAAAAAATACAGCTACCTCGGTGCCGTGACATCCGTGAGTTGTTTCATCGGCTCTCACGGCACATAACCAGCCAGTCTCAATGCTGGTGCCAGGCGTCTGGTGCGTCTGGGTCCATGTCTGCTCTCAGGCAACATGCAGACATGTAGGCAACTAGTTGACCCCATGTCGCTGTGGGAGCAAGTGATATGGAAAATGTCGTTCTTCTATTCCTATTCATAACGCACTTGACTGCTTAAACGTGACGCTGGCGCAGACTCTCTCCTTGGTCCCGTCACGTCTCTTCCTCTTCGCGCGCGGAGCTCCTTACGCACACGCAACAATCGCCAACATGGACGCAGCATCGTCGTCAATGTCCATGGCAATGCCTTCTTCAACAGCCGGTGCCATGCCCATGTCATCATCCAACATGACCATGACCATGGAGTCCATGACCATGGTCTTCTTCGCCTCCACAAGCACGCCTCTTTGGTCCTCGGCCTTTACACCCAGTACGGCCGGCCAGTACGCCGGTGCATGCATATTTCTCATCGCCTTCGCCGTGGTGTTTCGCTTCTTGTTGGGATTGCGATGCAACTTGTACAGAGTGGTGGCCGCGGTCAAGCAGAGGCGAAGCGGAAGTCTGCTCCAGCCCGACACGATGGAAATCAAAGGGACGCCCCCCCGACGTTGGAGAGCTGGCGAAGCCGTCATTACGGGCACGCTTGACGCCGTGATTGCGGGAGTGAGCTATCTACTGTCAGTCTGAAACCCATCTCCGTGAGGTGGCTCTCAAACGAAGCTGCTGCTGACCTTGAAATAGCATGTTGGCGGTCATGACGTTCAATGTTGGTTACTTCCTGTCCGTCATTGGCGGCGTCTTCTTGGGCAGTGTGCTCTCTAGTCATTTATCAGACAGCGTGGAGCGGCATTGAAGCGCTCTTCAACTGCCTTCAATGTTGAGTAATATACATTCTTTTTCTCGAGGGACATGCCCATCTAGGCTCCATCAATTCGCTCTTCCGAATGTGAATGAATCACAAGTTTGGTCAGGCGTCACACAGTAGTAGCAGGGAAATACTCGGCTGTTCTTTCGACGTGGTCTTGCTCTCAACTAGATTTATCCGCCGTGCATGGCATACGTCGTAAACTGCTCATCTGCCTTCAGCCTCTCCATGTCCTCTTCTGCAAGACACACTGCCAGAGCCATCTCGCCGTCGCCCTTTCGCGGCATGAAATACACAAAACTCTGCAGCGGCGTGAACCACGGCCGGCGGACCGCCTCGGGGTTGCCAAGTCCCAAGTTGAAGTCGAGGGCGTAGCTGTCAGTCTTGGCCCACGAACTCACAATCACGTCGACCGAAACACGCAAAGACGAGACGGGCGAGACGTGTGATTTGTCGGCTTGGCCGTGCAAGTAGGTGGCCAAGGCACGCGTGTGAAAGGGCAGGATGGTGGTGTCGGGTTCCAAGGCGGCTCGCAGCCTGGATGCTATGGCGCCCAGCGGCAATGCGACGAGCTCTTGCAGCGTGTACGTCGTATACGTCATGTTTTGCACGATGCCCGCGTACGTCGCGGGCACGTCGACGTAGGAGCGCACGTCAACAGCCCGCGCAAAGGTCGTCTCCGTGTCGGGCGGCAAGCGAGGGAGGCGGGCGCGCATGATGCTCTGCCAGATGAAGGCGCTCAGGGCGTCATCAGTGGATACGTAGCTGGAACCGCTCGGGAGAGTCTTGACAGCAATCGACTTGATAGATGCCAACGACGTGGGATCAAGGCTAAAGCTTTCCCAGACAATTCGAGCAGGCTCCCCACCGTCGTCGAGACCATTGCGATTTGGAGCTGTCGCGGGGGTGGCCAGGTGACGGGCAAGCTCGGGACCGCCGTGGTAGTTGTCGAGAAGAGGAACGACGGTTTGGCGTTGGAGATTGCCCGAGAATTTCTCGTCGCTTGTGAAGGACTCGCCATGGCAGGCCTTGGAGAGGAGCCGCATCATCTGTCCTTGCCCCGTCATGTCCATGGCCTGATGCTGGCCGAGGAACGTGAGCACCAGACCGCCGACGATGAAGTTTGCCTGTACAAGGAAGACGGGCGAACCAGGGTCATTTCTGCTCATGTCGTCGTCGGCTGTGGGAAAGGTGTGGCGAGGCGCCATGACGGATTCATTCAGCATTCCCATCGGGAAGTTGGCTTGCCTTAGTCCCGCCATGGTCGGAGCTGAGACGTCGGTCCTGAGGTCCTTTACTGCCAAGTATGGAATATCTCGCAGCTCCTTGATTTTGAAGACGCCAGTGTTTCCAGCGCTTGAGCCCTCGACGACGACCTGGCCTGCGACCCATGGAAAGCTGGCCGATAGCCGCTCAAGGCCCGAAGTCAGTGTGCTCACGATGGCGGACTGCGCAACATGGCTGGGCATTGCAAAGCAGAGACAAATTTGCGTGTGGATGTTGAGTCTCGGCTGCTGTCCAAAAATGTCCAAGCAAACATCCATGGCTCCGGGAGAGTGCGCCATTTGGTCTGGTGGTCGTAGGCCAGTGGTCACGCAGAATCACGACTTGGAGTCGCTGCCATGAAGCGTCTTGGCTACAAAAGCAACTGATCAACCCTTCTCCTGTGCCCAAAAGGGGGGGGGGGGGGGGGGGCGACAACACCTCAAAAAATTGATTCAGTTTGTCATGCATGGCGGAAAACGCACTTCAAATGTTGAGTCAATATCAATGGGATGTGCTAGTGCCGCAAGTGTTGAAGGAGCGGGTGCGAAAGGGTCCAAGGGTCTGGTCAATCGTTTACGATGGAGTGGGGAAGTTGACGGGATGGCAAAGATCAATTGATACCATACCCCAGTTGTTCCTCGAGCATGGACACGAGTCTGACCATCGTAGGGCAGCATTCAGCAAAGAGACGTCGTCAGCCAAGATGCATGCCGCACCTAGCAAGTGGCCAGCTACGGCAAGGCGGGCCGAAATGTGAGGTACACCTGCATAATACCAGATACATATGTACATAAGACAGACAGCTGACCCCTCGCGACTTTGTGTTCATGTATGCGCGCAAACTTGCTCATTCTCTCGCTGTCCCTCGACCGCGAGTGTAGATTAGATTTTGCCATGGGGGCCAGGGGGGGTGAATCTACCACCGCTGACGGAGGGAAAACGGCATCAAACTATCCGCCATGACTTCGTGGAAGCTTGCGCACGTTCCCACGATATAGTCTGAATGGCAGATTGCAGCCAAAAACTGCGCAGCGGCGAAAGCCTAGATTCCGCAGGAAATGATGCAATTTCGACAGTCTACAACAAAAGCAGCATAGCATCAATGATAGTTTCAAGTGGCGATAGGATGCTGATGCAAAGTCATTTTCAGTGCCTATTTTACTTTTGATCCAAGGTGGTGGTGACCTGTTCAACGGCATCATCTTATATTTAGCCTCCATGACGCACACTGCACAGACAACTGGCTCACACATCAGGGTTACTTTGACGACACACATGCCCACGCCGCCGAGATGCAACGAAAAGTGTCCATCATCGGCGCCGGCCCGTCTGGTTTCGCCCTTGCGGCTGATGTCCAAAACCGCGGCATGGATGTGCTGGTCTATTCCCACCCGGACCACCTTCGATATGCCAGCGAGGTCATCGACAAGGGTCAACTGACGGTTCGTGGAAGGGTTACAAGTTCCACGCCTGTCCGTATCACCTTTGCCATGGCCGAGGTCATTGAATTCTCGACAATCATTGTCCTCACCGTCCCGTCTACCGGACACGAGACGGTGCTGCAGCAACTGAGAGGATTTGCTCTGCAGCAACACACCATCATTGCCATACCAGGCAACCTGTTCTCGCTCATCGCTGACATGGAGATTGGATGCGTCCTCGAGACCAACCTGTCCCCGTATTCGTGCCGAATGGAGAAAAATGTAGTCGTGGTGATGGGTAAGAAGGACCTCATCTTCATTGCGGCACTCGGTGGCCTTCCAAGCCGCGCAGTACGCGACGCGATACAACAGGTTGTGCTGGTCAAACTCTGCTGGTGCAGCAGTGTCATTGAAGTCTGCCTGTTGAATGTCAACGGCGTGTTCCATCCACTCATGATGTTGATGAATGCGGGCCGCATCGAAAGCACCAATGGCGACTTCCTCCTCTATCGAGATGGCCTGACCGGCTCCGTGGCCAAGGCCATGGTTGCGGTCGATCAAGTGCGGATGGAGATAGGCAGAGCATTCGGCCATAGCCTCAAGAGTGCCTTGACGATTTCCAATGAGTGCTACGGCCACAACTTTACCGATCTAGTCGATCTGGCAAGGAATTCGGGCCCCCACAACAGATTGAAGGCTCCGTCGGATCTTCAAAACCGAAACATCTCAGAGGATGTTCCCGACTTGCTTGTCTGCTGGCACAGTCTGGCCGAGAAGCTTGGAATAGATTCATCTCCCATCACGGCCATCATCGTCCTCGCCCGGATGGCTACTGGTGTAGATTATTTCCTGTCTGGGAGAAGTCTACAAAGGCTTCATCTGGACGACGTGTCGCGGAGTGAGCTGATTGGGAGATTTACGGTTCAACGAGACCACATGTTTGTCAGTCAGTTGTAGTTTAACGAATGGTCTCCGAGTTTCCATCATTAAAACTTGTATCTGAAGAGCCTCGCTGCCCGAATCCTCGCGCCGTACACGGCAAAGACCCAGAGAAGTGGCGTGAGTGCAAGTGCGACGAAAGCCAGCAACGAGTTTCCCCAACCCCATCCCAATGCCTTGTACATATTCAGGCCGCTGAGAGGAATCAAGGCCCCAGCGAGGCCCCTGAGTGCCGCATTAGCGCCATTGACGCTGGCAGCGTGATGCTCGAAGGCATCGAGCAGATACGTTTGGATGGCCGTGAATATTAGAATGTAGCCGAACCCTGTCATGGCTGTCCCAACTTGAGGAATCATCCAGTGAAGATGCTTTTCCACTCCCCATCCATACAAAAATATCCCTAGTGAGAAGCTCAGGCCGCCGGGGATTGTGACCAGGAAGGGAAGGCGGTCCTCGGGCGTAATCCGTCTTCCGGTGCCGGCGCGTTTCTTTATCGTCTTGTCGCTGAAGTATCCAAGGTAGACGAGTCCCGACAAGGTCCCGAGGCCACAGGCAATAAAGACTAGCCCAGAGGCAAAGGTTGAGAAGCCGTAGGCCTCTTTGAATATGATGGACAAGGTCGAGAAAAATATGTACATGATGCTGTATAGAATACAAACGTAGACGCAACAGGCTGTGACAATGGGACACAGTATGAGCATTTTGCAAGGTCGCAAGATGCTTCGTATGACGAGCGCTTGAAGACTCAGATCAGGAGCGAGCTTGGATCGGTAGTTGGGGTTTCCCGTATCTTTCCTAAGCCGACTTGCCTTCCTCTCTAGCAGCACCGGAGGATACGTTTCCCTCAGGACGGCCAGAGCAATGATTGTGACAAGTCCGGCCTGGCCCATTGTCAACGCCACGAGCTCTTGGACGAAATTAGGAGTTGGCGCCGGCTTACTGTAATGGAGATGATCCAGAAGATCCATCTCCAGCCAAGCACCTCTGCCACATAACCACCGATGACGGGACCGATCATGGGACCAACAACAGTGCCAACGGCCCAGAGCGACACGGCCTTTCCCCTCTTCTCCCGAGGCATCATGTCTGCGATGCTTGCGGGACCTATCGATATGGTGGCCACGCCTGCGAAGCCAGATAGAAACCGAAAGCTGAGGAGCGTCGCTTCATTTTGTGAGAGGGCGCACAAGACGGTGAATACAACGAACAGCACATTCGTTGCGTGGTAGACAATGACGCGGCCATACAGCTCGCTGAGCGGCGCAAGAAGAAGCGGTCCAAAGGCGAAGCCTAGCACGAATATCGACAGGACAAAGGTCGGAAACGTCGTTGAGCTGGTGTGGAAATGGGCCGATATGAGTTCCGCCGCCGGCGCGACTACCGACGACACGAGCGGTCTGCTGAGGGTGAGCAAATGCCTGAAGCCATCCGACGGTTGAATGTTGGCGGTTGTCACACGTACACCAGGAAACTCGTGGCAGAAATCGTCAGAATGTTGGCCCATTTTTTGGTCGCCGGCCAGTTGATGGGATTCTCGGCGTCTTGGTCTTCGGGCTCGTCCCACCAAACCGTGAGCGAGGCGCATGGTCCGAGTCGTTGGTTGGCGTTGCGCAAGGATGAAGTCGTTGAGACATGTACAGGGCATGCAGGACCTCTTGATTCGGAGATGGTTCTGGTTCCCTCGGCCGCCTGCTCCATGCCTTCCGAAGACCAAGGCCTGGCGAGAGTGCGTGAGGATGCCATGTTGTCTGGTCGTGTACTTGACACCGTCTCCAAAGTCAACAGGCGGCTCACATATAAACTCTCCCCGCCCTGGCTACCCATGCTCTCTGCCTTGTGCATTGTCCCGACTCGAGTAGATGCAGGCACCAGGTTTTCAATGCCCCATACAGAGTACCAGACTGACGCTACTACCGGATGTCAACGGTGTCTACATATGTTACTGGTAGTCTGGTACACCCGGCGACCAGCCGTAGCTAGAAGACAGACAAGTGCCAGACAAGTGCCAGACCAGTTGTCATGTGCAGACTGGAGATACGGACAAGAGACAGGCACACAGAGCTCAATTTTATTCCATCGATACTTTCAAAGGCAGAACAGCGCACTCAACGGGCGTCTGCCTTCACAGCCACAGTCACCAGGAGATCTATGTCCATATGAATACCATCCTCCACAACAAGTTTGTTCCATTCCGTCTTCATTTCCTCCCTTGCCCTTGGCCGGAGTTCCAGAGGGATGCTGCCGTACGTCTGTCCGGATGAGCTTGCATCCAGCCAGTCAATCATGGCGTCGGCATCCTTGGCCGACTTTGTGATTTTGTTGACCACGATGCTCCTCTCCTGGAACCCATTATCGTCCAGGAGACGCTCCATCTCGCGCCGCTTGAGAAACTTGGGTGCGCCCTTCTCTGGATAGTTGCGGTATGGCTCTCTGGAAAGCACATGGTCCTTGATCCTCTCCTGTGCGCTGGGGGTATCGCCTGAGCCTCCTGAAATGCCCAGTTTCCCTCCCGACTTGAGCAGGCGTGCAAACTCCCTGAATGCCGCGGACTGGTCCTGTACCCAATGCAGGGTCGAGTTGACGTAGATGAGATCAAAGTGGCCCGTGGGAAACTGCGAGAGGTCTTCGGCTTTGCCCTCGCAAAAAGACAGGTTTGGCTTCCGAATCGTCTGGGCAATCCTGATGCGTTCCTTGCTGGGATCAACGCCCACGACGCTGCCTTTTTCTCCAACGACTTCTGCCATGTGGGCGGCGATGTTTCCAGGTCCGCACCCGACATCGAGAACTCTCAAGCCTGGACCGATATCGAGCCTTTCGAGGAGAAACAGCCCTGCACGGTACTGGGTGTTGTTTACCCGGGTGTATTCCGTCGCCAGCTCCTCTGTATCCCCCATTTTACTTCTCAGGGCTAGGATGCGAGAAAATGGTCTTTCTGCTGTTCTGGAACACGCTCTCGGGGACGATGTGAGTAAGTGCTTGCGTCGTAGTTGTAAAGATGACGGGGACAGCAACAGAGTTGCAAACTTGCGACGAGTTCTGGTTGCTGGGCTCCAATCATGCTCTCAAGGCAAAATCACACTCAATACGCCACCGCTTTGAACCTGGCATGGGTCTGGTGTATGTAACTACATGTACCAGCCAGACACCACCCCACCGTCAAGACCCAACAAAGACTATACACTATCAAAGTGTGCTTACTTTAGTCCATAATTGATTCGGTACACAAATTGCCTTCACTTGCGGGGGGGCTGGGGTTATTCCCGAATCGGGATGCAACCACAACCCACGGAGCTGTTTTGAGCTGGTTTTCTTCATGCATGCGGCTGAACTGTACAGATGTTGCCGCGGACCCATTGATGTGCCGGAAGTTGCGGCACAAGGGCGTGTGCAGGAATTGGAGAGCAACCATGTCGGACAGGCATCGTCCAGATTGCCTGGCCAAGTCGGCTCTTATACTTACATATGTACTCGGCTGAGTGAGCAAAGGGTCAAGTCTGGTTCCCTAGACGCGCTTGCCGACTTGGACAAGACCTTGCCCATCAATATACCAGTGACGTATCGATGGATTTGGCTATAGGATGCCTCCTTCTACGCCTTACATACATATATTCCCAACTTTTTAAGGCGCTTTTTTCCAGGGCAGCATCCATCTAAAACGCATTGAGAACAGTATCGAAAAACATCATGCTGATTCAAATCATCTCCGTGACCTCGGCTGTCTCTACATTTTCTGTCCTCGTGAGTCATTCATTCATTCAACGCCATGACGTTTTGCTCATCATCTACAGCTCGTTGTTGGTCTCGTTATCCGGATTCTTCGTCACCGAATTTTCCACCCGCTTCGTTCAGTGCCTGGCCCTTTGGTCAACAGTTTGTCAGAACTGCCAGCCGCACTGGCTCTTGTCAAGGGAGAACAGCACCACTACTATAGGTCTCTGCATGACAAATATGGCCCGGTGGTGCGAGTGTCGCCCAATGAGCTGAGTTTCATAGGCACAGATGCTCGAGAAGAGATCTATGGGTTTCGCGTACGTGCTTCAAACCCAACCACGTCCCTTGCTGACCCCAAGTCATAAAAGAAAGGCGGCCTTCTGATGGAGAAGAGTCCCATATTTCTCGGAGCTGTTGGCAGCGTCAACGGAGAAACTGGTGTAAGCCTGGCGCTGAACAAGGACCATGTCCGCCAGCGCAAGGCTTTGGGATACCTCTTCACAAACAGCGCATTGGCCAAACTAGAGGACATACTTCAACTTCACGTCGACAAATTCATAGCCGTGCTGGAGAAGCGGGCATCTGAAAACCAAGCATTGAACGTCTCCGACTGGTGTACGCATCCGAAGCTCACCGTCATCTGTGCCCTTTGCGCTGACAACCGAACGCAGACACATACCTTGCCTTTGACATGATGGGCGACTTGTGCTTCGCAGAACCTTTTGGGTGCTTGGACCAAGCTTCCGCTACCGAGTGGTCAACCTCTGTCATCAACGTTTTTGTTGCGGCTACGTGGGCACAAGCCATACGCCGCATATCCGGCGTTGGCACGTACCTTGAGCATCTCATGACTTGGCTTCTCGTCCCTACGACGGCTGCATCATGGAGATGGATTCATTTGCGTAATTCACGCGACAAGACACTCAGTCGCCTCAAAGACCCCAACAGAGAGCATGCAGACTTCATGTACCACATTCTGAAGAGCGAGTCCAGAAATCTGTTATCCAAAACTGAAATCCAATTGAATATGGCCTTGTTTATTAGTGCTGGAACTGACACGACGGCTACAGCTCTGGCCGGGTGGACATACTTCATTTGTACTCATCCCGAGGTATACAAGCGACTTACAACGGAGATCAGAGACGCTTTTACAGACAAGGCCGATATTAAATGTGCCAAGCTTGGAGAGTTGACGTACCTCGAGGCGACGTTGAATGAAGCTCTGCGTCTCTTCCCGCCATCGCCTGCAAGCCAACAGCGTGTAGTCCCTCCAGGAGGCGCCATTATATCCGGGTATTTTGTTCCTGGAGGAACGACGGTGGCGGTGCCTCCATGGGTATCAACACACTCACCCATCAACTTTAGGGAACCCGATGCTTTCAGGCCCACGCGATGGCTAGGTGAGGACGCCGAGTTCCTACATGACCACCTGAATGCTTCCCTGCCATTCGGAACAGGACCTAGGGTCTGCATTGGAAAGAACCTGGCAACTCTCGAAATGAGGCTCATTGCCTCCAAAATACTGTGCAACTTTGATGTTGAGCTGGACAGGAGTGATCATGAGGCTGCAAATCGGCAGTGGGGTCTAGGCGGCCGAATGATGCCCATGAAGGTGTTTCATTCCATGACGAAGCCACCGCTATGGATCAGACTTAGGCGAGTAAACCGATAAACTGTTGTTTGTGAGAAGAAAGAACAGAAGCAATATGCACTTGTTGACGTACGTGTCGGCTGATGTATGGATATCAGCCGGGACCTAGTTGGCGATATAGTTGTTGGAAGCAGCGACAGCCATGATTACTGCAAACATGAACCAGACATATTTGGCCAACGTGATTGGCCGCAGACAAATGGCTCTGAACATGTTCATGGAAATGCCTGTTCATGTGAGGTTTTGGAAGTAAGCCCTACCTCCGGTCTCTAACACTGCACATGATAGTTCAAAAGGTACCTCCCTTTGGACCTATCTTGCCTGGGACCTGTATAACGGACGCTGTAGCAAAACATGCTGCTAGCCAAGTGGTAGCTGTTCCCTTGACACTCAGTAGCCTGCCTATAAAAATCAACTGTTGAACATTGCCCCTGACGCCTGGCCATCCAACTACCCGCCACGTCGCAACCATTCCAGGATATCTCACAACCTATTTCATAGACAGCAGACACCTACAGGATGACAGCTCAGTAGGTACCAGCTCATTGAACATGTCATGTTGCGGCACCAACGCCACTTTGAATGCGGTGGTTGCATCGTGGCGTCTGCCTCATCCCCATCATTCCACTGCCTCAGATGCTGGATATCAATTAGCATTAAATTGTTGTGCCACCCTTTTCACAGTCGACCTAGAAGCTATTTATCCTCTACAACTGCCCGCTGAAACCCCCTCAGACTCAATGACCACAACGCACTTGACCCAACATGTCCACCGTCGGCGGTAAACCATTTTCCCGCATCGCAGTCATAGGCGTCGGAGAAGTCGGCGGCGCAGCCGCCTTTGCGCTCATCATCTCCTCCATAGCCCGCGAGCTTCTCCTCGTCGACATCAACACCACCCTGCGAGACGGCCAGGTCCGCGACCTCTCCGACGTGGCCTACAGCTCCAACAGCGTGACGCGCGTGCGGGCAGCCACCCACCACGAGGCAGGCCAGTGCGACATTGTCGTCATCACCGCCGGATCAAAGTCTGTGCTGGGTATGAAATCTTTCTTGCCAAACCTCCACGTTCCCTGGTGTTGACCCGCGCCCCCCCCCCCAGGCCAGCCGAACCTCGAGCGCGTATACCGCAATGTGTCCATCATCCGAAACGTAGTCGACGCCATGAAGCCCATCCGGCAAGACGCCATTGTCGTCGTCGTCTCCAACCCAGTCGACCTGGCGACGACTCTTGTCCTCGAGCTGTCCAAGCTGCCTCAGTCGCAGGTCCTCGGCGCCGGCACCTTTCTCGACTCCGTGCGCATCCGGGGCATGATTGCCGACGAGATTGGGGTACGCGCACCTCGACGAGTATATAAGAGTTTGATGCTAACGTGAGCCA